ATATATATATATATATATATATTCAATCTCATTAGAAGAAAAAAATTATTTAAATTTCATTTTTTTATAACACATTGGTTGGAGAGACTTGAAAGAGATCATTATGATAAATAAACAACCCTAACAATGCTCTATTTGTGCACCTAATCATGCTGCAAACAAAGCCCTGCACGCTCAATAATATTGTATGTCTACCAATAAGCACAATCATGTGGACCAAAGGGACAAATCTGAAAGCCTGGACACTGATAGGCTTCAGAAAACAACTTGTTTTTAATTGGATCTCATGTGGAACAGTGTGCACAAACCCGCTACTCCCCTCGGCTTGAATCCATATAACAAAATACAACTTTTTTTTGCACGAATGAGATCCGGTGATTGGCCATTTCCTTTGGTACCGAAATGTCTCAAAAAAAGAAAAAAAAAACTCTTTGTCCACAAAATCATGTTGGACCAATTAGGAAGAGATATATGGACTGGTGATTGGACATTTTCTCCCGTACTGAAAGGTCTCATACTTCAAGTTCACTGGCCCCAAAAAAAAAAAAAGACTTGGCAACCATTTATATAACATTTTTTTTCCACACAAAATCATGTTGGACTAACCACCGAGAGATTTATAGGTATCTGATCACATGTTTGTTTGATTTTGTCTTAATATTTTATTATAGTGTGCAACAAAAAATAAAATTAATATTTATATATATTTTATATTCTTATTGATTAAATAAAGAGGGCCCACTGCTAATTTCACTAAAATTAAAGAATGAGGGCATATAGTTCATTCCACGATTGCATTTCCTTTTGCTTTGGTGTAGAACCATGTGGGGTTGGAATGATGCTAAACTTGTTTGGTGAGATTAAGGGTTGTCAATCTTGTGGGAAATAAAAAATAAAAAAATTAATCCACCCATGTTACATAAATTTGGGTATTATTGGGTTTAAGAAATGTGCTTATCAAAAGCATACAAGCACTCATTCTCTATCATGTTAATTAGTGTCAAGATAATCTAAATTTGAGAACCAAATTGTAATTTATTTCAGTAAGTTTCAGTTTGTGGATTGAATTTTGTGAAACTTCAAGTGGTGAAGTAATTTACTTTCTATTTGTTCAAGCCAGAATAACAGTGTAATTGAGTCAAGCCAACTCATGAGATATGACTCGTGAGTTCGGCATCATAAGCTACTGAACCAAACATAAGCCAATCCTCACTCAGCTCATTAACCTCTGAATTAGCTCATTTAAAAAATATTAATATTAAATACAATTAAATTTAAGTGGAGGTTATAACAAATATTAAAAAAAAAAAATTGATATTTACAGTGATTTCTCATTATTTTTGTCATTTTATTACAATAAATATATGGATATATTATATGCTCCGTCATTATAAATGATCAAGATAGCGAGCTGACTCAAATTTGTAGAGTTGAGCTCAAGCACAGGTCGAGGGAGGGGGCTATACCTCAACCACTCATTTACACCCATAGCCTTGCATGTGTGGTATTCATTTTATAAAATTTGACATGAGTTTCAAGATTACCATTTGGCCTAACTTCAGCCCTAATCCTTTCTCCTCTCCATTTAGCTTTGGAACAGCAAAAGTAGCTTTTCCTTGGCGAATGAGACTAATTTCAAAGTACTAGTAGCACTGTTCACAATTTATGCTTCTGAAGCAAGGGCATATCTGCAAGACTGACAAGGTAAAGAAATCAAATTTTAAGCAATGAGGGGGTAAATTCCAACAATATCTCTCTAAATACCAACAAGATCCATCTTTGATGCTGGGCCACACACATATCTTAAAATGATCACTCACTATAAATCTTTAAAAAAAATATATTTATTCAATCTCATCAGAAGAAATAAATTATTTAAATTTCATTTTTTTATAACACATCGATTGGAGAGACTTAAAAGATAGCATTATAATAAATAAACAACCCTAATAATGCTCTATTTGTGCACCTAATCATGCGGCAAACAAAGCCCACACTCAATAATATTGCATATCTACCAATAAGCACAATCATGTAGACCAAAGGGACAAATCTGAAAGCCTGGACACTGATAGGCTTCAGAAAACAACTTTTTTTTAATTGGCTCTCATGAGGAACAGTGCGCACAAACCTGCTACTCTGCTCGCCTTGAATCCATATAACAAAATAAAACTTTTTGCGCAAATGAGATCCGGTAGCATTTCCTTTCTTACCGAAATGTCTCATACTCCATACTCACAGACCAAAAAAAAAAACTCTGTCATCATTTATGTAACTTTTTCCCACACAAAATCATGTTGGACCAACCACCAAGAGATTTATGGTTGGTGATTGGATATTTTCTCCCGTACCGAAATGTCTAACACTCTAAGTTCTCTGACCCAAATAAAAAAGCCTTTGCAACCATTTATATTTTTTTTACACACATTTTAACAAAATCATGTTGGACAAAAAAGAGATTTATGGCCCGGTGATTGGACATTTTCTCCAGTACCGAAAAGTCTAGCACTCTAAGTTCTTAAACCCAAAAAAAAAGTCTTTGCAACCATTTATATAACATTTTTTTCCACACAAAATCATGTTGGACCAACAGCTAGAGATTTATGGCCCCGTGATTGGACATTTTCTCCCGTACCAAAAAATCTAACACTAAATTCCCCCCCCCCCAACATTTTTTTCTAAACAAAATCATGTTGGACAAACCACTGAGAGATTTGTAGGCATCAGATCACATGCTTGTTTGATTTTGTCTTGATATTTTAATATTGTGTGCAACAAAAAAATTAATATTTATATAATTTTGATATTTTAATTGATTAAATAAAGAGGACTCACTGCTAATTTCACTAAAATTAAAGAATGAGGGCATATAGTTCATTCCACGATTGCATTTCTTTTTGCTTGGTGTAGAACCATGTGGGATTGGAATGATGTAAAACTTGTTTGGTGAGTTTAAGGGGTGTCAATCTTTTGGGGTAAAAAAAAAAAAAAAATTTCTTAATCCACCCTTGGTTGCACCCCACCAATTACATGCAAAATATATATATTTAATCAGGGTGCTTACTAACCATATTTTAATAGAATATATCAAACATGTTTTGATTCAAATCAAAACAAAAATAAAATAAAATATAAAATATAATGCAAATGTAATCCAAATGGACTCTAAATTTAAGTGATTGCATTGCACTCATTTTAAAATTAAAATAGATCCAACAGATTTAAGAATCGTCCTAACAAAAAATTTGTTGAGTTTGACCTGATAAAGTCTCTTCTACTATTTTTGCTATTTTTTTTTACCAAATAAATCATAAAGAATTAAAAACAAATGTTACATAAATTTAGATTTATTGGGTTTAAGCAAAGTGCTTATCAAAAGCACATATGCACTCATTCTCTATCATGTTAATTAGTGTCAAGATAATCTAAATTTGAGAACCAAATTGAAATTTATTTCAGTAAGTTTCAGTTTGTGGATTGAATTTTGTGAAACTTCAGGTGGTGAAGTAATTTACTTTCGATTTGACCAACCTCGAATAAAAGAATAATTGAGTCAAGCCAACTCATGAGATATATCATGCTCAGCATGATAAATGACTCTTGAGTTCAGCATGATAAGCTACTGAACCAAACATAAGCCAATCCCCGCTCAACTCATTAACCTCTGAATTAGCTCATTTAAAAAATATTAATATTAAATACAATAAATATATGATACTCATTTTATAAAATTTGACATGAGTTGTAAGATTACCTCTTGGCCTAACTTCAGCCCTAATCCTTTCTCCTCTCCATTTGGCTTTGGAACAGCAACAGTAGCTTTTCCTTGGTGAAAGAGACTAATTTCAGAGTACTAGTAGCACTGTTCATAATTTTATTTGTTGCTTCTGAAGCAAGGGCATATCTGCAAGACTGAGAAGGTAAAAAAATCAAATTTTAAAAAATGAGGGGGTAAATTCCAACAATATCCTCTCTTAATACCAACAAGATCCATATTTGATGCTGGGCCACACACATATCTTAAAAAGCACAGGCTGTAAAGCATAGTAAGCATTTACAAGTACGCAGGTCCTCACATGTGTGCAAGCCTGTGAGCTGTAAAATTTGCAGCGGAAATAATTAAGAAATTATTGTCACATATTGTCTCTAGCACGTGCCGCCTTCTTAATTCATCTAAATTTAATCCTTCAATGTCAGAAGAACAGAAAATATAAGAGAATATGTGATATAACAAAAAAGAAAAGAATGCTGATAGTATTATAGCTGTACTAGTAAATAAATAGGTGTGCTAAAAATTCTTACTACGCCAACCATAACTATGGTGTATTTGTTTTTATGGAATTACTCCCTGAACTTACTTGTAATATTTTTTTTTTTCTGAAATAGGGTCATAAGAGTAAATAGGAATTGCTTATGCTCCTGTATTTGAGAAGAAACATGAAGAATCGAAGAAAACCTTTTGAAAATTGTGTCAGTCAGGGACATAATGGATTTAAACCCACGAGACTGGCTTCATAGCAACTTTGAATCTTAAATATCAAATTGTATCTTGTTTATAGAGGTCCTTCGAAGCCAGTAAGGACAAAGGATGTTTTGAGATTTATACCCAAGGTTATGAGGCAAGGAAAAGTTTCATGTGAAAGACTATATAGAGATGACAAATCTTTGAAAGGATATATTTATTGTGAAAAGAAGAGCAAATGAATGCATGACAGAAGTATTTAATCTGTGGCCTAATTGAAGGAGAGGTGTATTTCTTGTACTTTAATTTGGAGCATCTGCATACATACCAAACAATTCTTATGAATTTACATATCTAACTGTAAAAACAGAAATTCAATATTATAATAAGAATAATGATAAATGAATAAATAAATACATTCAGATGTGTCGAATTAAATTAACCGTCAAGACGGTTCATTGAAGTGAAGTTAAGGGGGAGCTTCTATTGGTCCTTCCGTTTATAGCCTACAGAGAGTGAGAGAGCAGGAGAGACAGAACAAAAAAATCGATGGAAGGAAGAAGAAGAAAAAGAAGAAAATAGAGAAAGTAGGACGTCACGGCTTGAGTGCATGGGAGGCTTTGACTCTTGCATAGCCAAGAGAAGAAACCCTAGCCAAAAGGGAGGAAGGAGGAGGAGATCTACTCAGTGTCTATGATGAATCGAGCCCAACATAAAAGAAGAAAAATTTAAGGGAAGAAGTGTGCGGTTCTGTAGAAAAAAGAAGAAGCAGAACAAGTGCTCGAAGTTGCATGAGGAAGGTGAGGGCACGGCTTCGTGTTTGAAGTGAAGAGTCAGCCCGACGATACCCTGGTTGAGCAAATCTTGTGGGAAGAGGAAGGAGAAAGGATCTCGAGTGATGTGATGGGTTGAGACGAGATTGAAAGAAGAGGAGGAAGAAGAGGGAGATCATGAGCGTGCAGGTTAAGGTAGCCGACTGAAGCTTAATAAAGTAAGTATAAGATTTTAATTAGGTTATCTATTAAATTTTATAAATCTACTTATTTAATGAATGTTAATAGAAAGTTAAATTGATAAGAAAAGAAATTCAAGAAAGAGAGATTTTGTTTCGAGGACTATGAGTGATTCACTTTGAAATATAGCTTTTATTAAGTTAAAGTCTGATTTATTTAATTTAGAATTAATATTTTATAAAATATTAATTTATAATACCAATTAAGGTTGATGAGCATTTAAACCTATAAGATTGGACATAGAGAGTTAGAGAGACAAACAAGCAAGTTTAAAATGAGTAATTACTTTCCACATGTACTAATTGATGTTATTTATTTAATAAAGACTTTCATTATTGCTTCAGATACTTATTTTTATAATTATATACATGTTGTAAGTTAAATGAATTATTGAAATGATAAGAAAGAAAAATGATTGTTCAAAATATTTACAAAAAAGTAATTTAAATAAAATATAATGTAAAAGCTTAAAGTTATTCAGGATTATCACTATATGGTACTGGAAGGAGATGCAATGCACCCGTGCACGAAGAAGAAAATGAAAATGGTAAAGGTGTATCTTCATGTGCAAAATTTTGAGGTTACCTACATTTACAATTTTGACGATATATTCGGGTATGACGGTAATCCTGATATGTCTTCTTAAAAAGGTTAAAAATGATAAATACTTAAATTGAAATGAGAATGGTAAAATTTAAAAAAAAAAACTTACAATATAATTAAGTAATGAATTACATTTCTTTTGGTCAGTCACACATAGAATTCGCATACTAATTTAATGTATATTAAGATTGAAATTGCTCACTAAGTCGTATAAAATTACTGTTTATGTTAATTGTTTCTTTCAGTTGAAACACTAGTTGGTATGTCTAACATGAGGGATTTAGTTTACAGGAGAAGAACTACTGCTCATAGATATTATGTTGTGTATTGTCATTGTAGTTATTGCAATGTTTACTTCTGAGTAGTGATACTGTTGTGCATTGGTTGAAATGTTTTACTAGAAGACTATTGTTTTTGGCTGATTTAAATTTTTATTTAGTGTATTTTGTAATTTCTTAGTGGTTTTTTTATAAATTAAAAGTCATTAAATTTTTTGAAAAATAAATGAAATGTTAATATCATCCGACCGCAATTCGTGACTTAGTTAATTCTAAGCTATCAGGCCGAGTCGTGATAAAAGTGATATCAAAGCCATTAGGTTTGAATCCTGATAAAAAAAGAGTCATTACGTAAATTAATTTAATTAATATATAATATTAATGAATTATTAAATTGAATCTATTTATAATATTGCTTATGATATTTCATAAATATGGAAAATCATGGGGACAAAGTTACGGATGATGTGGTAGAAATTGACACACCTCCACGGATTACTATAAACAAAAATACTTTTGTTGGGATGATGACTGCAGTAATTCAAATGAATAAGAACTTTTAGACACATGTTAGTTTCTAGTAAGGTAGACCAGATTGACAAGTACTAAAAGCTATTTCAAAATATAAGACCACTTTTTTTTTTTTGAGAAAGTTCAGTGGATGCTAAGAACTAACTGCTGAAAGTAAAAAAGATTTCAAACTTATTGTCTTGCCCTCCATAGAGAAGAATAACACTGGCCACTTTTGCCTTGGAGGGAAAAGCAAAGAGATGGTGGTGGTGACAGTTTGAGGAGCAATTTGGGGGTAGATCCAGCCACTTGATACAGTAGGATGAATTCATGAACACATTTAGAGACCTGTTCATACCACTTTCAACTAGAAAGCAACTGCATAACAAATTTATCAGACTAGCGCGGAAAAATCAGTCAATTATGTAATATGAAGCTGAATTCTCCATGTGTTCAAGGTATACACACCAATTGATTCCAAAAGTAGAGGAGAAATGTCATAGATTATTGTTTGGGTTGAAGGATATGATTAGGAAGCCATTGATTTCTTCTGAAATCAAGTATTACTCTTTTAGTGGAGAGGGTCAAGAGATTGAGCTGGATTTACAAGCTACCCAGAGAAGGATGGACTCTAACAAGTGGAAGATTTGCGAGAGATACAGGATTCTTTAGAACTTTCAGAGCAGGCAGTCCTTCAAATCAGAAAATACAAGTTCTATGAAGACCAAATCAAGCAGCGTTGGCAGCTAGACTGAAGTAAGAAATTTGACAAGTGTGGCAGTCTAGCAAGGTTGAGTGTCTTTCTGGATTCAACACATTTTTTGGTGTTATGAACCAAGACATATGATAAAGAATTGTTCTACATTGGGACAAAGGGCAGTGTTGCACCATCTCAGAGAAGCTTTGGCAAGCCGCGGGTAGCTGAGTCTTCTTGATCAATATCAAATTCAGTTTAAAAACATAATGTCCACCCAGGAATTTATACACTTTCATAGCAGGAAGCTAAAGACTCCTTTGAAATTTATCACATGTATATTTTACATTTAAGAAATTTTTAACCAAGTGCATCTTTAACCATAATTGAATTCATATCATGTCATGTCATTCATAATATCATGTAAGAATTTAAATTCATTAAAAAGTCTAGCCGAAATGTTAAATGCAATGGCTTTAATGATAAGTATCATATATCTTCAAAATAGACCAATAAAAGCATTGTTTGATTCAGAAGCATCAAATTCTTTTATAACTGAGAAATTATTTAAATTTATGGAATTGAATAGTAACTTAATGTCTGTAATATTATCTCCTAGAATGTCAAATGGCACTTCTATGAAAATTAATCAATTGTGTGAGGTAAAGCAAATGATTGGTCGAAAGAATTTTGATGCACAACTGATTGTGTTACCCTTAGTAGAATTTGCGATAATTTTAGGCATTGATTTGTTGTCTAAAAACTTTGTTACAATTGACTAGAATAAAAAGATTGTCACAATAAACATATATGGGGAGATAGAAGTCAAATTTTGCGGTGATTGGGGATTGGCATTCATGATAATTACCTATTCGAAAGCTTTCAAACTGTTGAATTGTGAAAACCAAGATTTTTTTGCTCATGTGACAGATACCTCTAAGGAAGTAAAATCTTTGAGTGATAATTCAGTGATAAGAGAATATCCAAAAGTTTCTCTTGATGACTTACCAGAGTTACCTTCTGTGAGAGAGATCGAATGACCTATTAAGCTACTATCAGGTTTTGAGTCAGTATTCAAGTCACTCTATAGAATGGAAGTAAAGGAATTACAAGAGTTGAAAAGTCAATTGCAGGAATTGCTAGATAGATGGTTCATCATGAATGTGCCTCACCTTAGAGAGCTTCAATGTTATTTGTGAAGAAGAATGTGGGAGATTCACAATGTGCATTCAAGAAGTGAAAAAACTCATTGTGAAAAAGAAGTATCCATTGTCGAGGATTGATGACTTGTTTGATCAAATAGAAGGGGTTTCTATAATCTCAAAGATTAATCTAAGGTCAGGTTATGACCAATTGAGGATTAAATATGAAAATATAGTGAAGACAACTTTCAGGACCATATATGAGAACTATGAAGTTGCGATGATCCTATTTGGAGTGGATCTAATAAATAAGATCTTCAAACAATTTTTGGATACTTTTGTGATTATCTTTATAGATGATATTTTGATGTATTAAAGGGATGAAGCCAGCCATACAAACCATTTGCATGATGTTCTGTATATTTTAAAGGAGAACACACTTTATGTTAAATTTTCAAAATGTGAATTTTGGCTTAAAAGTGTGGTTTTTCTTGGGCATGTTATCAGTGGAGATGGCATATATGTGAATCATAATAAGATCAAAACGATTGTAGATTTGTTTACAAAATGAATTGTGTCATGTATGTGCAAATTACCATGTTAGTATTAGAATGACTTTATATGAAGCTTTGTATGGAAGAAAGTGTTGGACACCTTTATGTTAGGCTAAAGCAGGTGAAAAAAAAGTCATCAGAGCCAACTTGGCTGATGATGTTACTGAAAATATTAGACTAATTAGAGATAGACAAAAGGTGGTGTAGATAGGCAAAGGAAATATTATGATGCTAAGCACAAACCAAAAGAGTTTGAAATTGAAGAGTATGTCTTTATCAAAGTCAGTCCAGTGAAGGGTGCGCAATGTTTTGGGAAGACAAGAAAACTGAGTCCAGGATATGTAGGTGCATATGAGATTGTGAAGATAATTTGAATTGTGGCTTCAAGTTTAGTTTTAGTAGCTCATATGCAATGAGTGGATAATGTTTTCCACATTTGTTCACTTAGAAAGTATATTGCAGATTAATCAAGTAGGTTGATAGTTGACTCAATTGACATGCAGTCTGATTTGACTAATATAGAAGATCCGAGAAGGATTATGGAATATGAAGTCTAAAAATTTTGTAATAAGGAGATTCCATTTGTGAAGATTTTAATGGAAGTACTAATAAGCAAAAGATGTTATTTGAGAGAAAGTTTCAGATATGAAAGAACGATGTTATTTGAGAGAAAGTTTCAGATATGCAAGAAAGATATTCCCAACTCTTTAATTAAGGTATGTTTGCTTTCTTATTAAATTTTTCAGATTTCAGTCAAATTTTATAAGGGAAGATTGTAATAATTGAAATTTAAAATAATAATAATAATATATAAATAAACAAATATATGTAGATGTATTAAATCGAGTTAACATCCAGATAAAGGTGTTACATTCAGATATAAAATTTTGATAGTAACTACAGGTACAATCACTACAGAAAATTAATTAATGAGCGACAGATTTATCGTCAGAAATTTTTTGACGCAAATTTTATCCTCAAATTTGCATATGTTTTTTCGTAAAAGATTAGGAATGGCTTGTTCGTGGAATACTTACAATGCAAACTGTTTGTGCCAACTTCAACATTGTCGATTCGTCGACACAAATATTTTACGTTGAAATTAGTATATTGATAAATTGTCAACGAAACATATTTACTTAACAGTGTCAAACAGTCAGACATTATTTTCGACACTAACAGATTGGCGCAAAAATAGTCTGACACAAATCCGACACCACAACAACAATAACAAAGCCTTAATCCCACTACGTGGGGTCGGCTACATGAATCTTTTTTTTTTCCATTGCGTCCACTTTAGTTTCATATTTTCATTTAGTTCTAAAACACAAATTCGACGCTGATGCACTAAAATTTGAACCTCGCATGCCCCAGCCTCATTTGCGCCCTGCGCTGTTCCATAGCTTTCAGCTATGGCGATTAGGTTTCTCCACTAAAAGTCCAACTTGTGAGTTTTTTTACCAGCAAAATTGTGTCCCCAGCGAGTTTTCTTCCACTCTAAGCTTAGGTAAACTTCTATCTTATTCGAAGCTTTCCTTTATTTATTTTTTCTTTTTCTTTTTTTTTTTGTGAAAAATTGAAGTTTGGGTTATAGATATGTAATGTATGATAAATGAGTGGAATGTACGAAAAATTTGAAGTTTAGGTGTTGGATATGTAATACATATGAATTGTGTGAAATGTATGTGAAAATTTAAGTTTAGGGTTTACATATGTAATAAATAAGAATGGTGTGGTTTGTATGTAAAATCTAAGTTTAGGTGTTAGATATTTAATACATAAGAATTATGTGGTTTCTATGAAAAACTTGAAGTTTGGGTGTTAGGAATGCAATACATAAGAAATGAGTGGAATGTATGTAAAAGTTGGAGTTTAGGTGTTAGTTATGTAATGCATAAGAATTGTGTGATTTGTATGTAAAGTTAACATTTAGGTGGCATATATGTAATGCATAAGAATTATGTGGTTTGTATGCAAAAAAATTGAAATTTCGGTGTTAAATATGTATGTAATACATAAGAATTGAGTGGAAGATATCTAAAATTAAAGTTCATGTGTTAAAACTATAATACATAACAATTGTGCGCTTTCTATCCAAAAAATTAATGTTTGGGTGTTAGGAGTGTAATGCATAAGAAATTAGTGGAATGTATGTAAAAGTTGAAGTTTAGGTGTTAGATATGTAATGCATATGAACATTGTGGAATGTGTCTACAAATTGAAATTTAGGGCATAGATATTTTATACATAAGAATTGTGTGGTGTGTAAGGTTAAATTGAAGTTTAGGTATTAGATACATAACGTCTATGTAATACATAAGAATTATGTGCTTTGTATGTAAAAAAATAAAGTTTTGGTGTTAGTTATTGCATACATAAGAATTGTATGATTTGTATGTAAAAATTGAAGTTTAAGTATACATGAGAATTGCGTGGTTCGTAAGTTGAATATGAAGTTTAGGTGTTGCATATGTAATGCATTAGAATTGTGTGCGATTTGTAGGTAAAGATTGAAGTTTGAGTGCTAGATATGCAATACATATGGAATGTATGTATTAATTTATAAATCTACAAATAGGTTGCAGATGGATAATCAGAATTTGAAATCATGAAAGTATAATAAATAAATAGGAGACGGTTAGAGAAGACACATCATCGTTTACCCAATCCTTTGCACGTCTCCTCATTCGTATAATCGAACAAGATGGAGAAAGTTAGAGCGGCATAAGAGAGGAAGAAGAAGAAGAAGAGAAGAGAAGATACCAAATTCATGTGTCGAACGACTTCGTGCTCTAAACGAAGAAAGGAGAAGTCGACTTCGTCGCTTGTAATGAGTTGCCTGGAGTTATAGAAGCCAGCACTGCTATCGCGCGGCGTGGGTGAAGTTGGAATCGAGACCGGTGAAGGAGAAGAAGATGTGTCGTCGTCGCGTGCAGAAAAGGGAAGTGACGGGAATTGCGGCTTTGTTCGCGTAAAGAAAGAAGATGAGAAGGGGAGCCGAAGTCGGCGAGACGATCCTTGCGTTCGTCATGTGCATAGGAAGGAGGAGGTTCTGCGCCTATGCTCTGCTGGGGTGAGACGGGGCCGAAGGAAGAAGGAGAGCTCACACGATCGAGCTGAGACCGAAAGAAGGAAAGCGTCGGCTTCGCGCGTTTGCTAGGGCAAAGGTCGAAAGTTAAGTGTGATTAATATTTTTATTAGTTAATTAATATGTTATTATATAAAAAAAAATTAAATGTGTGTGTGAGAGTGTTTAATAATAATATCAATAGAAATTTTTATTAAGAATTAACGCTAATAATTAGTGATAGTAGTTTAGAAGGAGAATTTGGAAGAGAAGCGAGTTAGGAAAGATATTACATCAGTACTCTGCACGTACAGTTATGTGCGGAGTCCAATGAAATCACGTTAAAAAAATCAGCCTGATAATACGGGGGAATATTCCCCGTGTTATTCAGGTGTTATTGTATTTTATTCATGTGTTCTTGTATTCTGAAAATATTTCTGGTGTTATAATAACACAATAACACATCAATAATGCTTGAATAACACTGGAGGAATATTTCATTGTGTTACCATGCAGATTTTATTTTTTTGTCATCATCACGTGGCGTGATTTCATTGGACTCCGCACATAACTCTACGTGCGAAGTCTTGATGTAATATTTTTTTCCACACGATCGAGCTGAGACCGAAAGAAGGAAGGGGTCGGCTTCGCGCATTTGCTAGGGCAAAGGTCGAAAGTTATATTGAGTGTGATTAATATTTTTATAAGTTAATTAATATGTTATTATATAAAAAAAATTATGTGTGTGTGAGGGTGTTTAATAATAATATCAATATAAAGTTTTATTAAGAACTAACACTAATAATTAGTGATAGTAGTTTAAAAGGAGAATTTGGAAGAGCAAGCGAGTTAAGATGAGGATTGATCAAAACATATTATTAGGTAAATCATCATATTTAAATTAAGCAAAATAACCATATATATATA